TGGCCAGACCCGCGCCCACCCCGCCGGGCTGTCTTCGATCAGCTTGAAGCAGAGAGTGCCCCTGGTGTTCTCCTGCCGCCCTTCCCTCTGGCGACCCGGACGCGCCCGTCCTCGCCGCCCCTGCGGGGGGGCGCTGCGGCGCTGCCGCGCGGGCGCGCGCCTGCCCCGCGCGCGCACGCCCGTGTGGCCCGTGGCGAGGCCGGCGCGCCTCGAGGGGGGCAGCCCGCGAGGCGCGCCCAGGCGGACCCCGCTGGAGGCCAGCGCGGCCGCCGCCCCCGAGCAGCACGCCGCCGCAGCAGCGCGGAGACCCGCTGACCCGAGCGCGCTGCGACCAGACTCTCTGGTCGGCGGGTCGAGAGCGGGCCTCTTCCGGCTAAGAGCTGGGCGGGGCGCGCGAAACACTAATTTTGGAGACAGGGCGCGGGCGGCGCTGCGACCAGACAGATGCAGTGCAGGCGCGGCCCCGAGCCCCGCCCGCCATCCGCGGGGCCCACCCCGAGCGGGCCTCTTCCGGTTAAGAGCTGGGCGGGGCGCGCGAAGCACTAATTGGGGAGACAGGGCGCGGGCGGCGCTGCGACCAGACAGGTGCAGTGCAGGCGCGGCCCCGAGCCCTGCCCGCCATCCACGGGGCCCACCCCCCGCCGCGAGGCGCGCCCCCCCGTCGGGCGCCCTCCCCCCGTCCGCGGCGGAAGGGGAGGGCGCGCGAACGGGCGGGCGCCCTGGGGGCCGATTCGAACCTGCTTTTCGCCCGTCGCCGTCGGCCGTCGTCGTCAATCGCTTGGTCGGGCGGCGTTCGTGGTCGTCGTCGTCGTCGTCGTCGTCGTCGTCGTCGTCGTCGTCGTCGTCGTCGTCGTCGTCGGCGGCGGCGGCGGCGGCGGCGGCGGCGGCGGCGGCGGCGGCGTCGTCGTCGTCGTCGTCGGCGGCGGCGGCGGCGGTGCGGACGGCGACTCCCCCCCCCCCCCCCGCGGGCGCCAGGCGGCCAGCGCGGCGCGCTGCATACGGGCGAAGGCCGCGCGGAGGCGCTCGTCGGCGCCGCGGCGCAGGGCGGCCACCCTGCCCGCGGGACACCATCATCATAACCATCGCCGTCATCATCATCATCATCATCATCATCATCATCATCATCATCAGCAGCAGCATCATCACCATCATCAGCAGCATCAGCAACATCATCAGCATCAGCATCATCATAACCATCACCACCACCACCACAATCATCATCATCACCGTCATCATCACCATCAACACCACCATCACCACCATCACCATCACCATCATCATCAACATCGCCATCGCCATCACCATCACCATCACAATCACAATTATCATCATCATCAGCATCATCATCATCATCATCATCATCATCATCACCATCACCATCACCACCATCACCATCACCATCACCATCATCATCATCATCAGCAGCATCATCGTCATAATCATCATCCTCATCATCACCACCACCATCATCATCATCACTATCACCATCGTCATCATCACCATCACCATTACCATCTTGATCACCACCACCATCACCATCACCATCATCATCATCACCACCACCATCATCATCAGCAGCATCAGCATCAGCATCAGCATCAGCGTCACCACCATCACCATCGCTATCACCATCGTCATCATCACCATCACCATCACCATCTTGATCACCACCACCATCACCATCACCATCACCATCATCATCATCATCATCGTCATCATCATCACCATCATCGTCATCGTCATCGTCGTCGTCATCATCATCACCACCACCGTCATCATGAAGATTAGCAACATCACAATCACCACAACCGCCATCACATCATCAGCATCATCATCAGCATCAGATCAGCAGCATCAGAATAACCATCATCATCATCATCATCATCATCATCATCACCATCATCAGCACAATCCACACCAGCACCAGCACCAGCACCAGCACCAGCAAAAACACCACCATCATCATCATCATTATCCTCCTCCTCCTCCTCACCACCACCACCATCATCATCACCATCATCACCACCAGCATCATCATCATCAGCAGCATCATCATCGTCATCATCGTCATCGTCATCGCCATCGTTATCGTCATCGTCCTCGGCGGCGGCGTCATACTCCTCCTCCTCCTCCCGAGCCGCTGACAGGTGCCCGCCGAAGCGGGGCAGGAGGGCCTCGGGCAGCCCGTTGTCCAGGTTGCTAGTGGGGCTCCGACTGGCCCCAGACGGCGTCGAACGGCGACGGCTCCCGCCGACGGTGGCGGCGTCGTCGTCGGCGACGTCGTCGGCGACGTCGTCGGCGACGTCGTCGTCGTCGTCGCCGTCGTCGTCGTCGTCGTCGTCGTCGTCGTCGGCGACCGCGGCGGCGGCGCCGCCGCCGTCGTCGTCGTTGTCGTCGTCGGCGGCGTCGTGGTCGTCGTTGTCGACGGCGTCGTGGCCGATCGAAGATCGCAGATCGAGGAAGTGCTTTGCCGTTTTCTGTCTCTGGGGCCTGCTTCGGGCCCGAGGACCGAAGACCGTGAACATTGTTCCGGGATGAGACACTGGCCGGGCTGGACTCCGGATGGAATCTGAGGGAGGAGTGTTGCGTGGATTTAAGTCGGCGTCGTCGTCGTCGCCAACGAGGATCGACGATCGAGGTTCGAGGATCAATTTTTGATCGGTCCTGGGCCCTCTTGGGCCTTCAGAGTCCTTCGGGTGCCTCTGGGGACGCTCCCAGGGCCTGAGGGGACCTCTGGGCGAAGGGCTCCGGAGGCCTCCCAGCGACGTGCGTCGTCGTCGTCGTCGTCGTCGTCGTCGTCGTCGGGGTAGTGGTGGTCGTCGCCGTGGTAGTGGTAGAGGTGGTCGTCGTCGTCGCCGTCCTCTTCCTGGTTCCTCCTGGTTCTTGGTTCCTGACGGCTTAAGGGTTCGTCGAACGCGGCTTCCCCCTCCTCCTCCTCATCTCCTCCTCCTCCTCATCTCCTCCTCCTCCTCCTCATCTCCTCCTCCTCCTCCTCCTCCTCCTCCTCCTCCTCCTCCTCCTCCTCCTCCCCGCTACTCATATCCTTCCCCTCTCATCCTTCTCCTGCTCACCACAATCATTACCACTGCAACCACCATCATCGCCCTTATCATTCTGGCAGTTTTCACAGTCGTCATCACCATCACCATCACCACAATCATCACCATCCACCATCGCCCCCGTCACCTCTCCTTCCTTTCTCCTCATCCACCTGCTCCTCCCCATCCTTCCACTCATTCCCCCTCCACGTCCTCCTCCTCCTCTTCCTCCTCCTACTCGTCCTCCTCATCATCACCAGCACCAGCACCAACACCAGCACCAGCACCAGCACCAGCACCAGCACAACCACCATCATCATCATCATCATCATCATCATCATCATCATCATCATCATCATCATCATCATCATCATCATCATCATCATCATCATCATCATCATCATCATCATCATCATCATCATCATCCTCATCCTCATCCTCATCCTCATCCTCATCACTACCATCACCATCATCATCACCATCACCATCAACATCACCATCATCGTCACTATCACCATCATCATCTTTATCATCAGCATCGTCATCATCATCAGCATCATCATCATCAGAAGCGTCATCATCATCAGCATCACCATCATTATCATCATCACCATCATCATCATCATCATCATCATCATCATCATCAGCATCAGCATCAGCATCAGCAGCAGCAGCAGCATCATCATCATCATCTTCTTCACCATCATCCTCAGCATCATTATCGTCAGCAGCACCACCAGCACCATGCCAACATCGTCGATGACTCTTGGGCTTACACTGGTCCTCCTCCTCCTCCTCGTCCTCCTCCTCCTCCTCCTCTTCTCCTCCTCCGCCTCCTCCTCCTCCTCTTCCTCCTCCTCCTCGTCCTACTCCTCTCCCTCCTCCTCCTCCTCCTCCTCCTCCTCCTCCTCCTCCTCCTCCTCCTTCTCCTCCCCGCCTCCTCCGCCGCCTCCTCCGCCGCCTCCTCCTCCTCCAACGCCTCCTCCTCCTCCTCCTCCTCCTCCTCTTCCTCCTCCTCCTTCAAGGGGCCGAGGGACACACAAAGAAATATACAAATCCCAGGATACGTTCGGGGTTTTCGTCTTATACGTTCGGGGTTTTCGTCTTCCCCCCCACTTCCCATAGTTCCCCATGCTTTCCTGAGAATCGACGATTGGTTGTGTCTGTCTGTGCTATTCCCCTCCTGATAGCTGTCTGTCCAGCTCTGCAGGTAACGAAGTCCAGGACGAATCTGTATATCTCAAGGGAGGCCTGGAGCAGATCGTGGGCGATTCTGGGCAATCATGGGAGCCTTACCCCATTCGGGTCAGAACTCTGGAAAAGTGGCTGGGGGTCAGAATTTGAAGGATGGCTGCCGCCACGTGAACACCCCAGAGGGGATACCCCAGCGTCGATTGGACCCACGGGGGTAGGGCTCGCAAGGGGTCGCAGAGATCCGGCGAGAGTCGAGGGGCAGCCGAAGTCGTTGAGCCCTCGTGAAGCCCTCAACGGGAGGAGGTGGGCCTCCGCCTTGCAGCTGGGATGAGCTGGATCACCCAAATCTGCGCCTCGCGCCCCTCGATGTGCGACGCGCGATGGTCTTTGCGCCACCGCGCCCTCGCGCCGCCTCAACGGAGAAAGGCGCCCGCTCTGGCCCAGACCGTGACGCGCGAGGCTCGGTTGCCTCTTCGCGCCTGCGCGCCCCCGCGGGTGACCTGGACAAGAAGGGGGTGGGGGGATGGTTGGTAGGGAGCCCACAAAGCAACGCGATACTTCGAAACCAGCGTGGATTCATGTACGTGTACGTCCTTCTTTCGCTCCTGAGTTGGGGAGGAATGGACCAGAACACAAACGACACCACCCCACCTACGGCCCCACGGGGCTCAGCGCATGCCAGGAAATCTGGCGTGGGCTCTTGCGTGGTACCGTACGCGCTGCGGCGCCCGATGGGCCGCAGCGCAGTATGGAGGGCCGCAGGCGTGGGACGGTGTCGCTTGTTTTCTCGCCGAAGGACAGCGACGAGAAACGGGAACGGGAGGCGGAGAATGAGCCAGAAAGGAAGGAGGAGGTGCCGGCCCAATCTCTGCGCCCGGGCGCTAGGAGCGGAGAAGTCGCCGCGGCGCGTTGCAGGGGGGCCTGTGCGCTAGAAGTCCGGTGTTGCAAGCTGGGCAGCATTCCGCTCACTCACTCCTCCTTCTCGTCCGCCTTTTCTTCCTCTTCCTTCTCTTCCTTCTCCTCCTTCTTGGGCTCCGCCTTGTCCTCCTTCTCGTCCTCCACGTCTTCTCCCGCAAGGATCTTGGCTTTCCGCTCCTCCTTGTTCTTCTCCCAGTCCGCGACCTTCGCCTCGTACTTCACCAGCATCGCCTCGAGCTTCTCCACCGTTGGCGGGATGTCGTCCAGCGTGATGGGCGCATCGAGCTTCAGCTGATCGAAGAGCTTGAAGGTCACCGCATTGTGCTTGATCGGCTTGCTGGACTCTTTGGCCTTCGGCTTCGACGAGCCCTTGCTCTTCTTAGCTTTGGTTGGCTCGAACCAGAACTCGTCGCGCTCGTCCTTCTTGTTGAGAACCTGCAGGCCGTCCATGTTCTTGTGCTCGACGTCCTTCTTCTCCTCCTCCTTCTCGACCTCCTCTGCGGGGTCACGTTTGGGGGTGGGGGGTCAGCTTAGGGAGGGAAACATCGACAGGTAGCGAGACCGCACTTTCCTGGGCGGGGTGGGCTATGCGGCCCCACTCGGCGGTCCGTAGGCGAGTGGGGGTCGATGCATCCCCCCCCTGAGCGCATCCTCCCTTGGCGTTGCCCCCTAGTCCTTGCCGCCCGTCAGGCTCTTGCAGAACTTGATGGTCTGCTCGATCAGCGTGATCTCGGTCACGAAGGGCTGCTCGTCCAGCTTCTCCACCTTCTTCTGGCGGTTCCGGTCCTCCCACTCCTTCTGCCTGGCCTCGCGCTCCGCAGCGTACCTCTCCTGCTGCTCCTGCTTCTTCTTGTTCAGCATCTCCCGGAACTTCCTCTCCTCCTCGCGGAAGGCGTCGCGGACCTTGTTCCTCTCCTCCTGCTTCTCCCTGATCTTCTCGTTGAGCTTGTTGCGCTCCTCGTAAAGGCTGTTATCGCCGACCTTGCCGTCGTATTCCTCTTCGAGCTTCTTCCTCTCCTCGAGCACTTTGGCCTTCTCCTGCATCCAATTCCGGATCTGCTCGTTGATCGTTGACAGCGTTTCTTTGACGCCACCGCCAGCGTCGAAGCTGTTCAAGCCCTCCTCCATCTTGTTGACCTGGGCCACCTTCGGGCGGTTGCGTTTCAGCTCCTGGATCTCTTTCAGAAGATCCTTCTCCTCCTTCAGCGGGATTGTCTCCGTCTGCAGCCGGTACTCAATCTGGCGCATCCTGTTGTCCATCTCCTCCTCAGTCTTGTAGCCGATGGAAGCTTTCATCTTCTTCATGTCCTGCACCATCTGGGTCTTCTCGCCCTTCTTCTCAGCCACGCCCTTCTGCAGCTCGTCCTTCTGGGCATGGAGGGCGTCGATCTTCTCTTTGAAGCCCGCGATCTTGGCGGAGATCTCGCTCTTCTGCCTGAAAAACTCGTCCTTGACGCCCGAACCAGACTTGATTTTCTCACTCAACTTATCCTTTTTCGCTTTCAGGTCATCGATCGCCTTCGTGATGTCCTCCATCTTCTTTTCCATGGCTTCTCTGTCGGGCTTGGGGATATGTTCCTCCTCATCCTTCGGTTCAGCCTTGGCCTTCGGCTTAGCCTTGGCCTTGGCCTTCGCTTCTGCCTTCGGCTCTGCTTTGGGAGCCATCGCTTGCTGGCTTTCTGAGCAGTTTGCCTGTGCTGATTCTAGCAGACCATGAGCCTAGGGCGCCTTTAAGCCGATCCAAAATGGCTGCCTGGAAGTGAACATCAGGATAAGCTTAGCACGCGCCACTGATGCTGCAGGACACCTTCCTGACCCAACTCCCCCTTCATAAACTAAGACCTCCTAGCTCCTGGCTGGCCTCCAAGATAGCGCCTGGCATGGCTCCAATTCGGCACAAGATCGCCCCAAGACTGCCCCAATACTCCCCCACACTGCCCCAAGACCCTCCAAAACGACCCTGAAGGAACGCCAGGACGGCCCCAAGAGAACTCCAAAGTGCCCGCCAAGACCCTACACGGCCCCACGCCGTACCCCCGCCCAACACTAACGGAGAGTTGCGTGCCTGTCCCCCCTGTGGGCCAGGCCCACACGCCCAGTTCGAGATGCGCTTGCTCTTTCCTGCGCGTCCGCCTCCTGGTCCTTTTCTTGCGGGGCGGCGGAATGTTTTTGTTGCTGGGGGGGGAGGGGAGGCGTGGGAGCGGACACCGCAGCACGACGACAACCTCGGCGATCAAGGCATCGAGCCACGGACTCTTGAATCCGCCCGCCCCGCCGGACTGAGGGCCTGTGGGACTTGCTTTCGAGAGCTCCTTCCAAGGCTTTGGCTCTCCCTCTTCTCCCCCCTCAGCCAGGAGCCGGGAGCGGGGGGGCCAAGGACGTAATGAAACAAGAAGAGGCGCCATGAAATCTGGGGAAATATCATGGCCCCCGCCATGATATCCACCCCCCCCTAGTCATCACCCCCTCTTTGCCGCCCCCGACCGGAGCCTCCTCCGGGTTCGACGCCGGGCCGTGCTCCGTTCTTTTTGTGGGGGGGGGGCCGCAGGGTGGCTCCAAAAAACGACGTCCAGAACGATACACATGTGTTTTCCATCGGGCCAAACGCTGTGGGAACGGGTTCGCGCTCCCTCGTGGCCCCTCTGCCTGGGACCCCTAAGTCGCCTCGCTGGGCCAGGGGGACGTCTCTGAGACCCCACTTCGCCAATCCCCTAGCAGGTTCGCTGCAGAACCATGATGGTCTTCGCGTGGCCAGGGGGCGCCAGGGAGGCTCTTCCAATAACTCTTCGGGATCGTGCGTGTGTGTGTGCTTGTGTTTGTGTTTGTGTTTGTGTTTGTGTTTGTGTTTGTGTTTGTGTTTGTGTTTGTGTTTGTGTGCGTGCGTGCGTGCGTGCGTACGTGCGTGCGTGTGTGTGTGTGAGTGTGTGAGTGTGTGTGCGTGTGTGTGTGGGTGTGCGTGTGCGTGTGCGTGTGCGTGTGCGTGTGCGTGTGCGTGCGCGTGCGTGTGCGTGTGCGTGTGCGTGTGCGTGTGCGTGTGCGTGTGCGTGTGCGTGTGTGTGTGTGTGCGTGTGTGTGTGGGTGTGCGTGTGCGTGTGCGTGTGCGTGTGCGTGTGTGCGTGTGCGTGTGTGCGTGTGTGTGTGTGTGTGTGTGTGCGTGTGTGTGTGTGTGTGTTTGTGTGTGTGTCGCGCCGGTCAGCGGTGGCCCCCCGCTCCTGCTCTGCCTCCCTTCTCGGTGGGGCATGCTGCTGGACTTCGCCTGTCGCTCGCACCTTCCGTCTCCCGGCGCCACTGCTTCTCTGCCTCGGAGCCGCCTGCGCGAGGTCTTCAGGCGCTCAGGCTAACCGCGTCGCTTCACAAGGAAATTCATTACATTGGAGGGTGTCCCGCTATCGTGCCCTGCTGGTTGGACTCACTGACGCGTCGGAGGACAAGTGTTTGCGTGTGTGTGTGTGGCTTTTCCTTGAACGCAATAGCCTTTCGCCGTTTGAAAAGCGCTCCAGTGTTGACATGTTTGGAAGACTCTGGGTCCGACCTGGGCCCCAAGTCAAGGGTCGAACCAGCCCTGGCGCGAGCCCCGCGGGCCTGGGACTGGGCTCGGGCCACGCACAGGTGCACTCGCGGTTGGGCCATCTGATGAAAGTCCCTCCTGGGCCCGCATTACAGTCGGACCTGGGCCACCAACACATCCCTCAAGAACATGAGACCCTCCGCCGGCCAAAACACGGAAGAACATCCGAGGGCACCCTCCGCCAGGGTGCACAAGAGCATCCGACATACATGAAGAGCATGAGGGCATCCTCCCCGAACCGACCTCGATCGTATACTTCGGTCCGACTGTAAAGTCCCCACTGGGCCCGCGTTCATAATTTCTGGGCCCTTTTTGGACCCACCTCTGGGGCCCCCTTGTTGCCCTTTGCGGCGCCTCTTGGGTCCTTATCGGGCCATATGGGGGCAATCTTGCGCCGCCTTCTGCTATCTTTGGCCTCCTGCTGTGGACAGGTAGCAAAGATCCAGATCCAGTCGAACCTAGAACAGAAGAACATCCCTCAAGAGCACGAGACTCTCCACCGACCAAACGCACAGAACATCCAGCAACCACGAAGAACATCAGGGTACCCTCCTCGAACCGACAGCGATCTTGTACCTCGGGCCGTCTGTAGCGAGCCTCCCTGTCACTCATCTGGTGGTACTGCTGCTTGGTGGTGCTGATGACTGCTCGATCATCAGATGATGATAAGGCATCCGATCAGCCACATAACATACCGTAACATACCCGAGTCCGATCGGATATGGGATGGTTGAGCATGGAGCTCATGAAGGGGTGCAAATCACACCTGCGGGACAAATCTTTCACTGCTCTCGGCATGCGTGCATCCCGTGTCGGGACCACATGTGGCTTGGCCGGCGAGAACTCGAATTGGCCGATGGCGAACACGACGCCTCTTTTAGAATAACGTTTCAAAGCGTATTTAAAGAACAAAGACCAGAATGCGAGAAGGAGCCGCCGTTCATCCATGCAGCAAATGCGAAGTGAAAACCAGATGGCGCCTGTATGAAGAATTTGCAAATGACCTGCAAACTCCGAAGAAGAGCATCACTTCGTCCGTGTAGCTGTTGGACTACTCCAGCCTGACAATCATGCAGACTGGAGGCTCCCAACCAGAGCCAACCTGTGCTGTGCTGCACTGTACTGTACGGTGCTCAGCGGAAGAGTTCACCAACGACCCCCCCCAAACAGAACACGTCTCAGGAGGCCTGACCGCTCTGGGCCAACGAATCGCCTTGGGCCAACATGCCCTTCCGAGTAAGCAGCTCCAGGCCAGGGCCAAATCGTGCAAGAAGCTGGGCAAGGTTCCAACGCTCTTCCCACAGGCCACCACAAGCAGGAGGAGGAGGAGGAGGAGGAGGAGGGGGAGGAGGAGGAGAAGGAGAAGGAGGAGGAGGAGGAGGAGGAGGAGGAGGAGGAGATGGAGGAGAGGAGGAGGAGGAGGAGGAGGAGGAGGAGGAGGAGGAGGAGGAGGAGGAGGAGACACCCTTTCCGGTTCCTCCACTGTGGACCCCTGCCTCGCGACATGCACCAGACCACCCGCTCTCCGCCCGTGCCGCCCTGGGGATTCTCAGCCTGGAGAAGAGGGCATACCGCTTGAACGCTTGGGCCTCCGAGGATTCCCTGGTGATGGGCATACTTTGAGAGCCACCTCCCCTCCTCCACCGCAGCGGACGCCCCCGACCAGCTCGAAGGCCACGATCTCCCCAAACGGCCTGATCGGTCCATGCTGTCCAGCGCTGGCTCCAAACAGAGAGCTGCTGCAGTGTGGACGTGTAGGCTGCATCATTCGGCACCGCCTGCACCCCGGGCTCCGCCCGCTCCGGCCGCCTGAGGCCCCGCCTTCCCTTGCCCTGTCTCCCTGATTGAAGCCGTGCGTAGCCCGCCTAGCTTTTAGCGGAAGAGGTTCGCCCTCGCCCAGCAGACCAAAAAAAAAACGTGTAGGCTGCATCAATCCGCGTCGCATATCCTCGGCGCCCTCGCCTCGCGCAGCCCTTCATCAACGTCCTGATTCTTTTTGAATCCAAGTAAAATTTTACTTGGTTTTTCAATTCGTAGGTAATTCAATTTTGTAGTCGTTGAGCTATATGATTCATGGTACAACGCGTGCTGTGTTAAGCTGCAAGATCTGCGTGCGAGCGCGGCGCGAACGCGGCGACGCCTCGGCAGACCCCAGCGACCACGCGCGGCAACGAGCGGCCACGTGGCGAGGCCCTCCTGCTCGGCACGCTGGATGACCATCCGGAGGCCGTCGAGGACGGCGGACTCACTCCCACGACGGTCGGACGCGGAGGAGGGGAAGGACAAGAAGGACGATGGGGAGGACCTGGACGGGGAGAAGCGAGATCAGGACGAGGAGGACGTGGACAAGGAGGAGGAGGAGGCGAAGAACGAGAGGAGGATGAGGATGAGGATGAGGATGAGGATGAGGATGAGGATGAGGATGAGGATGAGGAGGAGGAGGAGGAGGAGGAGGAGGAGGAGGAGGAGGAGATGGAGGAGGAGGACGACGACGACCAGGACGACGAAGAGCACGAGGAGAAGGAGGAACAGATGTGGGAGAAGGAAGAGGACGAGAAGAAGGATGAGGAGGACCATGACGTGGACGAGAGGAGGAGGAGGAGGAGGAGAAGGAGGAGGAGGAGGTAGAAGAGGAGGATGAGGACGGGGACGAGGAGGAGGAGGAGGAGAAACAGTAATACGAATCGCAAACCTATAATTTAAAATCAAAGATAGTAATAATAATACGATGCGTAACAGTAGCGATACTATACCTAATAATCATACGAATAATAATAATAACAAACATAACTATACCAAACATACTACGGATAATTCGCCTGCCCAACGGGCCAGGGCGTGCTAAGATCTCCGGCACCTGGTTAACAGTATTTCTAGTTCGCGCGCGCGGGGCGGCCCCTAATGGTCCCCGGACGAAAAATACCCCGGCAAGGTCCCGGCAAGGTCGGGCCAGAGATGCCGGAGCCCTGTTACAGGGCCCCAGGACGGGCCAAGAGGTCCCCAAGAAGCCTCCAAGACGGTCCAAGAGGGCCCCGAGACGGCCAAAGATCGCACGAAGACGCCCAACAGGGTCCCAAGACAGCCCAAGAGGCCTCCAAGACGCCCCAAGGGCCTTCCAAGAGGCCTCCGAAGAGGGCCCCAAGAGGCCAAAATCGTTGATTTTCATTGTTTTTTCTATGTTTTTTGC